GGGACGAATCCCATAGGCGTCGGGGAGGACCACCTGTCGCAGCCGACCCACCGTAGCAGAGTCTGCATGCGCTCGTCGGTCACCCAGGGGAGACTACAAGGATCTACAATCATCCAGCCTGTCGCCCTGGGGACACTTGCTAGAAGAAAAATCAAGTCAAACGGAAGAAAGGAAAAAAATTCTTCAGAGAAAATTTTTTAGCTCCTTACTCCTGACGCTAGGCAAAAAACTGGAGACTTGTCAGCAAGTGAGGGGTTGGGCCCCCAGCAGGGGCCGCCACTAGGCTGTCTTGTCTTTTTGTTATGTGCCTAGCGTCCTACTCCTGCAGGTGGCGATATACCCTACCATTCAGGATCTACGATCTGTTGCCCTGTGTCCTTCAATGAACGGGAGAGAAACAATGTTTCCTACCAGCATCAAACTAAGGTTGTAACACCGACTTTAAATGGAGAGCCCTTAAAACCAAGCTTTGATCTTTTCACAAGAGTTCATAACCCGCGTTTTTAGACGATATGACCAAAGAGGGCATATAGTTGTAAAGTGTGATATCTTCACATGGCTGAATCATCTTCCAATCACCATCAATAAAGTGGAGACCTGGGTAGATGTAAAAAGCCACAATCTAACTTGGATACAATAAAAAATGATGTTCATAACCAAATCTCTTTTCAAGTTCTTGGAATAGTCTGCACAGTAGCACTCAGACTGGGAGAGGGAGGAGCAGCACTGAAAGCCAGTCAGGCCTGCATTGCACAGTGCTCTCCATCTAGTACTAGAAGCTTTGTGAAAAGGGAAGTGGTGTCATTGGTGTGCTGCTGCTTCTTCATGATTCACTGTCAGTTTGGGGAAGTCCTAGACAACCTTTATATGACTTGATGCAGAACTGCAGCAATTGGATTACAACTGTGCAGAAAAAATTCTCATTAGTACAAAACCTGAATGTGTTCTCTGGTGGGATTTCCTAGACCATAATAATGTGTGGTTTAGAACTTACTTTTACCATTAAGGCTGTTCATGTAATTCAAATGTGTATTTCAATGTATGTCTGTAGATCAGTTTCAAATACTGTATATTACAGTCACCTTCATGTTGAAGGTCTCCAAAACCTTCTGTGTGCCCTTTGCAGAATACAGAATAATCCAGTGTTATGATGCAATTATCTCCTGTACATAAACCAGTACATATTCTATTTGATATGAAGGCTTATCTTCAGTTTCTAATATATTGTACAACATAAAAGTAACCTCTTTAAAAGCTGGAATAATTCAGACTCCAACACTATGGCCTAAAGAAACATCAAAGTGGCATAACTTGTAATCGTGACTCACCAATGACATCAGTTACCCCATTCTTCGCCCACTTTCATATGTCCCTGGCTAGATTAGCAAAGCTACGCAAAGTGTAGAGAATGCTTTCTGTCCTCCACCCACCTGTTTCCTGGCGGCTAAACTTGTACCATCTAGAGCTGCGGTTACCTGTGCGTGGTGGTTACCATGGTTTCAATAATTTGTCTCTCTGCTCGTATTTTTTACATTAAGATAATACTTCAAATATTAGCTCTCTAAAGGTTTCAAAAATTTAGAATGAATACTGTGTGATTTGCGATAAAAGCTGGTTAATGAAAAACCTTTAACATTCACTGATGACTATGTAAAGTGTTTCAGTGTCTCCTCTATCTGTATAGAGGAGAGCAATGTCTTCCAACACACAATAGACTACCTTGTGAATTCAACAAAACACACTGACAAATGCCTGAACCTCCTCTAGTCTAAAACTCTACAATAGGTAGTCCAGCTAAGCTACATTAATGTCAAGTTTCTCAGTTCCTGGGTATGTGTGAGAAAGTTTATATGTTTTGTGAATGTTTAAGTACCCCTTCCTTGTCAAACCAGTCTTGATTATACTTTGTTTGAGCATCTAAAAAAGCCTGGCGGGTGCACAGATAAAACAGTTTGGGCTTACTCAAGTGTCTGTGTATGTATGGATAGACAAACAATGGGGAGGAAACCAGGGGAGCTGGCATCTTATTTTCCTATTGCGACCCCCCGACCCCCCCCCCCAAAAGACCGTT